CTTTAGTTAATTTTAAGATTAAAGATAGCTTCTTCCACTTTAATTAACGTGTGTGTATTCTAAAAGGGCCATTGTACCTTTGTGCTCTACAAGTACTTCATGACTTTTTAATTGCAAGTGATTTTGGATTCAATAAGACATTAAAATTCATGAGATTTTTTATGGCCTCAAATATGAAAAAAATTCAAAAAATTAATCCTCTCTTGCAATATATTTTTAAATTAAAGAATCATGAATATTTTTTATTTCAACTTTTTCAACAACTTCTAATTTCAAAAAAAAACTATGGTCTTCTTTATTTTTAGACTTTATTGTAGATTTCATGCCATCAAATCTTTTTGATATCATATACATATTTATCAACTAATTTACAAAGATAATAAATTTTATCTCTTGCAAAAAGACTATTATTCATGAAGAAATGATTCAATTCTTTATTATTATTTTTTATTGAAACTATTAATTATCAAATGATATCATATTAGATCAAGGATTAGAATTTGTAACCAAGTTTTGGAAGTTATTTTTTGAAATTATTTTAGTAGATATCAAAAAAATATTAATATATCATTTACAAATTGATAGCTAAAGATAATAAGTAAATCAAATCTTTAAACATACTTGAGATGTACCATCAATTATTAATAAGAAAATCAGACATCTTATTTGTCTCTAGCAAAGTTTGCTTACAACAATATATTTCATGTATCTATTCAATCAATTCTATTTTATTCCAATCATACTTACTATCTAAAATTAGATATTTTTATTTTAGTAGATCCAAAAATCCATCAACATATGATTTTATAAGTTGAATAGTTGATATCTAAGCTACTTTGAAGCTTTAAATGGAAAAAACTCAAGTATTCTCTAATAAATCAATCGATATATAAAAGTAGGAACAATCCCTAATTCAAGTTGGCAACAAATTATTATTATTGTAGCATGATATAAAGACAATCTAAGTATTAATTAAGTTCGATTACTTAAGGTTAGGACCATTTTTCATACAAAATCAAATTAATTTTGTTACTTATTAATTAAAACTACCACCATCCTTAAAGATATATCTTATTTTCTACACTTCTCTTTTAAAATCTTATAAAGAATCAAGCATGTTATAAAGAATACAATTACCACCACCTTATATTGAAGTAGATAACTATTAAGAATTTGAAATAGAAGAAATATTTGATTTGAGGCTAAGACAAAGACAACTAGAGTACTTTGTGCAATAAAGCAGTTATAACATTAGTAAGCATATATACAAGCCAACTTTAAATTTAATAAATATACTGCAAAAGGTATAAGAATTTCATCAAAGACATCTATCTAGATGTAAGGTAGCATTATATGTTAAATAATACTCCTACCTTATATATCCAAATATGATATATCATGGACTTTGTAATAATTATTTTAAAAAAATAGAAGCATTTTTTAAAATTTTCAAGAATTCAATCTACATGTAAAATAAAAAATTATAATAATTTATTCTATTTTATCTTAAATTTATGATAAGTCTTTAATTTAGCTTATGTAATTAGATATGGATAGTCAAATAGCCAATACCATACTAATAAGGCCATTTCAACTACTAATTTCATATTGTTGAATTCAAGAAGAAGAATTCCTTGAACCAAGAAGACATTAAAGAATATCTTGTAGTCACTTTGTAGCAATAATTATTGAAGTAGAATTTGGCCATGAAAGTTGTCTTAAAGCAACTTTTGAAAGATGCATTTGTAATGAAGATACAAAAATTTAAGCTTGATTTATATTAGAAGCCATTAGTTACTATTATTTATTATAAGGACTAATGAATCTTCTAACTTACAAAAGACAACTTTAGTATGTGACACATACCATGCAATATATCTTGACTTCTTTTATTTTTGAATAACATCAACTCTATCTCTCCTTGTTAAACTTGGAACTCTAGAAGGAGATGATATTACAATAGAATTCTAAAAAATTCTAAATGATTCTAAAAAGTTCTTAGTAGATTCTAATATATACCAAGAAGCTTCCAAAAAGACTTAAAAGATTCTAAAGATTTGGAAATGGTTGTAGAAGATACTTAGAGAGTTGCTTCATCTCCAAGTATTAAAAAAACATCTCAAGGAGCTTCTTTATACCTAATTTATATGAGAGTGAAGGTTGAAAAGATCCTAAGTTTTAAAAATGCAATCCATGTGGCTAAGCTTGAACCTTTTGATCTTGTTTATATGCTTGATTATAGCTCTTTGTTTGTAATATAAAGTTAATCTCTTCTATTTTATTTCTTTTAATCCTTCAATTCTTATTCTATTCAAGTAGTATATCCAAAATACTATTATATATAGAGATAAAAATGATGCCAACTTCAATCTTATCAACACCTTATCTATTCAACATATATTATTCAACTTTTAGCACTTTTATTCTAAAAATAAGTATTGTGGAAATTTTTGATAAATATATTAAAAATATATTATTTACAAATGTGTATGTCTTTTTGAGTTTTGTAAGAATTATTTTTATTACTTGACACATTACAATAAATCTTCAGTATTATCATTTGTATTAAAAATCACTTAATGGATCCTTTAAAGAAGTAATGTTACATATGTAATATTTGATATTTTTATATATAGTAGCATATCAAATAAAAATGTATAGCTTTTGGAGCTAAAATATATCTTACATTAATATATAAGTCTACTATATTATTCACATGCTTAATTTTTATAATTCTTCTATCATATCCTTTATATATGTATTTTTTAATATATTTTATTTTATATAAAGAAGCACAAAATTTTATATTGATATGGAAATTTTATATTTATATTTAAATTATAAAAAAATACTATAAATATTTATTATTTTACTGGCAACCTTAAATATTCTTCCATCATTTTTTCATCAGTAAATTAGATAATCATATTTATTCATTGACATAGGTTTTTAATAAAGTCTTAAATATTTGTTTTGGCATTTTATATTTTTCATATATAATATTCTTTGATTTTTTGTTTCTTGTAGACTATAAAATATATTATACATTGTAGTATCAAATAATATAGAATTACCTTCTTTAATAGAAAGTTTTAGCACATATAATATTACCAAAATCCATTATTTTTTATCTTTTTTATTTTAAAAATAATGTAAAATAAACAGGTGGAATACCATGTATTTAAAATTTTAAATGATTTCATTTATACAAGATCATTTTTAATAATCTCATGCTTAAATATATTACCAATTAATACATATTGCTTCAATTCAAATATCCATGCAATAATATTCAATTAATTTTATACTTGTTGTTGTTAAAGGAAGGATTTAATTATTTCTTTCCATTCAAGATTTAATGACAATATTCCAAATATGTAAAAACGGTCAAAAATATGAATAATAGCTATTAAATCTTAAATTATTTTAAACATCGTATATACATTTTTAATTTAAGACAAAGAAAGAATAATTTTTGTCCTAAGTTTTAGTTTTAAATTTCATCTATATTTTCAATCAAGTCTATTTCTTGAGCTTCACTCACTAAGTAATTTTTAATTTAAATAATCCTAGCCAACATAGATACTAGACTATAATTTGATTTATCAAGTAGATATTAAATATAATATCTTTATATGCTTTTGCAATATTTGAATTGAAGGCCTTGTGAAGCAATTTTATGTATTTTTCCATTTTTATATTGAATTCTTTTTGTGTAGTTTCTACTTGGACTCAAAATATAAAAAGAAACTATGCATGAATGCTTAATTGTCTTAAAAAAATATAATTTTAAAAAACTAAAATTATTAAATGGAATCCAAAAACAACCTTAAATAAATTTTACAATACTTGAGGGCATTAAAACAATACATCAAATTAGAAAATATGAAGTTATATAAAACATCTAGCAATTGTAATCATTGCACAATTATTAAAATTCATTTCACAAAATTGATGCTATATATTTTATAATATAAAAGAAAATAGTTTAAATTAGATAGTATTAAATAAGATAAAATATAAACTTACATTATTTTCATATTCAAATCTAGCTTGTATGTTTTTAAATATATCCTTTATATAAGATTTGTACCACCAATTCTATTATTAAGCATGAAAAAAATATTAATTATTCTTTTTTTAACATTGCAATCATCTCTTAATCATGATCCTTTAATTTAACATATCTTTCTTGTCTAAATTGTAACTCATCACACATTTATTCACAAGGTTTATCTAATTGTGATTCACAGGAAACTAAAATCTGTAGATGGCCTTTTAACAACTTGCAAAACATTAAAGCATGTTCATGTTCAATAGTTGGCTCTCTTTCACCTCACACTCCATTACACAAAATATTATAATATTAATGTCTTAAGCATCACCAAATTCATCCCATCAACAACATCTTAGCAAATCCAATTCTAATTAGTATTATTCTAGACATATTCATATTGTTATCATGTATTATTGATACATGATTAATTTTAGTATCCATGAATCGGAAAGTGTTAGTGCTTGCTCACCTACAACACAACAGCTTACTTCCTTGCAAGATCATTGTAACTCTATTACACCTCAAAAGAACGAAAGCTTATTAAAAATCAAAATGGACAGTAGGAGACCATAGCAACCAAGAGTAATAGGAAGGATGGTTTATAAACAATAGAAAAAATATATATATATATATATATATACTCTTCCACATTAAAATTACCTTCTAGTTGACTAAGCTCATGTTTTACTTTTTCTTCTTCCCTGAAGTCCATGCGTGAATGCAACTCTCTAAATCTTCACTTAAATACATGCAGCAATGAGAAGGCTGTTTATTCCTTAATGT